GAGAGAGAGAGAGAGAGGCAATTTTGCTGGATTAGAATTGCCTACCAAATGAATTCCCTTTTTCTGCCTTGATTTTGTAGATAGGAGAATGCCTTGGAATGTGGTGGAGGCCTGATTTTGAAACTTTAATGTACCCGTATTGCCCGACTCATATAAAGAAACCCAAGGTTGTAGATTTCTACTGTGTGACTACTTTATTATGTGATTGTTTACAAGATCTGTTAGTCACAGTTTGGTGATTTTGCAGGAATGCATCAAGCTTTTCATGGTTAAGTTGTCAGGGTGTCAACAACTTATTGTCCCAAAAAACCTAAAATTACTTGCTGTTCCTTTGTTCGAGCTTCACGATAACAAGAAAGTAAGTTGAATTCTTTTAAGTTTAGATTACATTACATTGCCTTTCAATTTAGTTTTCCCTTTTTTTTTTGGGTGGGGCCCCAGGGGGGGGTGCAGGTTGGTGTGTGTAATTCTTCCAAGAGAAAGCATATTATTGTCAAATCGACTATGTAAAAAAATGCATAGTTAGTGATGGAGAGTGGGCTGTAGCGTTGAGATCATCTTTTTTCTGGCAGATCCTGGTCTCTGTCCATCAGCCTATTTTAATGGATGATGACCCTAATAGATTATGGTATCCATAGTTCATTGGGCTATGGAATAGTCTGCCTCCTCCTGTTTGAGTTCAGTCATTTGATCATAGGCTAACTAAATTATGGTGTTTTGTAGACTTATGGTTCAATGATAGCGGGCATCCCTCAGCTCCTATCCAGGTTCTCCTTCAATTTTGTTCGAATCTAAAGCTGGTTCTCTTACATCAATAAAGATTTCAAACAGGGTTTCAAGGACTCTTTTAACTACAGTATTTTGTGTATTGATTTTACCCAAACAAAGGGTTCCAATGATGTACGATCTCTTTGTATATAGACTTATAGGGAAGTCGGTTATGTAGTATTTTCTTTTGCCATAATTAAGGATCATCTACCCTACCCCAAATAGTTGGAAAAAGCCTTTGATGGTGATGATGATGATCAGGGATCATCGTCCACACTTCTCCACATGTTACAGTTGTGCAAGCTTTGTTCATATAACCTACTATCGATATGTACTGCATGTTTGGGAACCTTATACTTCGCATGTATGAAAGCAATTTCCCCTTGATACCTACATTGACTGGATGGTCTTGATAAATGCAAATAGCTGTGGGTGTAAAATTATTTGGGTTTTTCCATTTCTTAATGTTTTAAAGTCACTGGAGCTAAATGCGAACGTTGTAACGAGTGGACTTCATCTTTCAATAGAACCAAAGTTATCGTAACAATATTTGTTTATTTTATTTTATTTTGGTTGAAAGAAGGTTTAGTTAGTGGGGATTTGGTTTTTATCTTTTGGTGAGAATGGAGTCGGAGATTTCATCATGGGGTTCAAAGGTACTAATGCTGAGGCACCAACCTATTCTTAAAAAGAGTGGTTATATAGAGGGATTCGAACCTTCACCCTAATTAACAATAAAGATGGCTCCACCCGGCGCAATATTTATTCTAAACAACTTATATAACTTTGTTTCTCGCAAGGCACATCATACCCATTAGAATTTCATCATGTGAAATGAAGAGAATAGATCTAGTTGTAATTAAGCATGCAAAGGTTCAGCAAATCCCATTTGGATTCCAAAGGTGAAAATGTGCTTATGCAAGGAAAGGATTAATATAAAGGACCAAATTTCTATGCAGCCAACACCGTATATGTAGAAATGTGGGTCTATTAATAAATTTATTTTTGAGATGGATTTTTTAACTTAATTTTTAAGGACATGTAATTTTTAACATGGAGATCATGAATATAAAAAAATAAATAATTTTTTAAAAATTAAAAATAATAATTCTAATAAAAAGACATTTGGACCGTTAGTTTTCATTGTTTTTAGTTGGAACACCTACTTGCATCTATTTTTGAAATGGATGCTTTATACTTTTTAGACCGCATATGTAATGTGGTCTAGCATGCAAGAAACAATTTTCTTAATATAATATAATTGCTCAATATAAGTGGCCTCTTAGATGCCCCTTTTTACAGCACCCTCATTAAAATAATAGGATTGTATGGTATAAGGTTACAACTATTTGTAACTTTTCAACTTGAAATCTAATAATTTGGGTGTCATAAAGTTCGAAAAAATTCTTTTGAATATTGAGCTTGATAGTAGAATAAATGCAACCACCCAATTTCAAATCCAATAGTCAAGATTAATTGTAATCACTTCATACAAAAGCTCATACAAAAGGTAAATGGTCTTATGATTCAAATATGAAAACTAGAAGTACAAAACTTGAAAAAAGGGAAAACTTTCACAATCCAATGAACCCTAAGCTTCAATCAACTATGTTTGGCCAATACGAGGGTATCCTGGAGGGATAGCAATTTAGTTGTTTATTTCCTTTTTCATTGTGGGATAGCAATTAATTGTTGATAATGAACCCCCAAAGTTCCACCTTTTATTAGGCATCAAGCGAATCAATCCCATAACACTAGAAGACCTAATCTTAATTGGTCAAGTTTACCATAACGATTTTGAAATGGCCAAATCGATTTTGAAATGACCAAATAGATTTTGAAATGGTCAAACCTCATTTACTCAATAACCTTTTGAGTTGGGTTTTAATATGAAAAAAAAAAAATTATATAAGACGGCAACTTTAAAATGTAGAATTAAGAGGTATATTTTTTTTAAAAAAAAAGCAAGATAAGTTTTATCTATTTCAGCATGTGGAAACATGAGAGATGAGTAAAACACTTTTTAGTTTCTACCCCTTTTATTCATAAAAGCTAATAAACAGATTAAGGAGTATGGATTTGCAACAAATGATAGATAGCTTGTAACAAATAAAAAAACAAAGTAAAAGAAAGTGTCACAACTGAACAAGAAGTTGAGAACACATATATCACAGTAACATACACCAAAAATAACCTTAAAAATAAATAATTTTTTTTTCATATTTATCACAAAATAATATTTTTATAAAAAAATATATAAAACATTAAAAACAATCCAACAAGCTCACCAAAAATGTATAACATTACAAAGAAACAAATTTTTTCTTCATATTCATCACAAATAAACATATTTTTGTAAAATAATATATAATATTAAAAACAATCCAACAAGCTCACCAAAAATATATAACTTTAGAAGAAAAGAATATATTCTTTTTTTCTCATATTCATCACAAATTTCATATTTTTATTAAAAAAAAATTGTTTTAAGAACCCTAACCAAAGAATACATAAACTTTAGAGTCGAAATCGAACCCAAATCTTTCATTTTTTGAGCAAATTGATATGGGGATATGATAGATACTTCAATTAAGATTCAAATGCTCCAAATTTCATGAAAACTTATTCACTATTGAGATCTTTATTCAAAAACTTGCAAATTTTTTACTTCATGACAATTTTAGGAAAAATTGCAATAAAAAAAATCGATATAAAAAAATTTAATTAATAGTAAATCAAAATAACTAGTTTATTTGATAGATAAGGACTTCATGATCAAACTTCAATGATTAATTCGATAAAAATCGATCAAAAATCAATTTGTTTGGATGAAAGTAGTTCTTCGAGCAACAATACTTCAAGTCCAAAAAAACCTCAAATCTTCATTTTTTTGGAAAAATTGAAATATGTAAACATTGAATCCTTCAAACAATCAATCAAAGCCCTCCATTTTTATGAAAATATATGAGGTATTAAAGCTGCATTTGATAGAATGGCGGAAATTTCTAATTTTTAAAATGCCCATTTCCAAGAACTCTTTGTTTTTCAACTTTTGATTCAATGATAGATAATCTATAGAAACTTTACGGTGTATAACATCAATATTTGACTGAAATAAACAAAAAAAAAGCTACAAAATGGAAGAAAAAGAAGCTGCAAAATTTTGATCTATGAAAATAACAGGCCTATTTTAAATAACAGTCGTTATTTGATACGTTATAACGACGTTATAACACACGAAAACAACAATAAACCTGACCAATGAAGAAAATTGGCCGGTTTTGAAGAAGCTGGTTCGACATTGAACCAGTCAATTTTGGTCTGGATTTTTTTTGGAGAGTTTCGTCTTACCATGTGTACCCCACCGATAGCGATCTAACGCGCCGATTTCGGTTCTAACCGGCCGATTTTGCGAACACTGACCTTTTTCTTAACTTTCAAAAGAATCAAACATATTGAAATCAATGGCCCAAGAGTCAGGTCCAAGCTGTCAACGTGTTTGGCAACAGAGAGAGAGAGAGAGAGAGAGAAGAGAGAGAGAGAGAGAGAGAGAGCTTTGTATTTTATGAGATATGGTGGGTAAGTGAATCATGCAAATAGCATGGAAAACTTTGACAAGAAATTGGCGAGTGGAATATGGCCCAAGCATTAGACCAAAAAGTGCATACACATCTGCAACTTCCAAAATTAATGGATAAAATGATTATCAACCACATCAGTAACAGAGTTAATTCATTAAATTTGAATGAATCATTGTCTAACTAGAATAGCTTAGGAAGAAATCTAAATCTGATTTACATGGACACAAGCATTATGAGCCATATATGAATCTAAAGCCTTCTAAAATCAGTGGTGTCCACAAGAAGAAGCACACTCGCGAGACTGGTTCGAACCAGTATTGTCCACTGGATTATTCATGCCCCCTTGCTACAATCTTAAACTTGCCCGTCTCTTCTTGCTGAAACATAGAGAGAGAAAATTGGTTATCTGTTTATGCGCAAAAGGTGTGGCTTAAAAATGAACAAAAGCTGAATATCGTGAACAGATTAAGAAAAAAATTGTTGGCAGAATGGCAGAAGTAGCCAACCCCAAATAGTAAGGATAAGACTGATGATGATACAACAGAAGATGAAGAGTAAGAGACCTGTTCGAATCAAAAATCTAGAGAGAGAGAGAGGTCATACCTTCTTCCACAACTGGGTGTGAACCTCGCAGAACCCAACAACAATCCCCCTTCTCTTCTCCTCTCTATACTCCACACACAAATCTTTTTCCAAAGCACAAGAGACATGGAACTTTGCACCACACTTGGGTTCAGAGCAATCAATCACAGAGCCATTTTTAGTCCCACAAAGATAGCATCCCTCCTCAAACCTCCTTAATGGAACTTTAGAACAATCAATACCTTCTCTCTCTTCTGGTTCTCTGAAAAAAACTTCAGGAACAAAAAGAGCACAGAGAATATGAGCCCATTTCCCATCAATGGTGGGTTTCATGGCCCCTTCCTTCACAGGGCAAAGGCAACAGGTTGGGTTCTCGGCAATTTTTTCGCACCTGCAACAAAACCAGTCACCTTCGGGAATGGAGCTCTGTAATGGGTCTCCGTAGCATGAAGCATGGACCATGAGATCACAGCCATCGCAAAAAACAATTGGGTCTAAAGGATCTCCATCTGTGCTTGCACATATGCTACAAATAACCCCATCTTCCTCTTCTTCTCTCTCTATCTCTTCTCTCTCTTGTTTCTCTTCTAATTTTTCAGAGAAAACAAGGCATCTGGGTCTTTTGAAGTGGGTTTTTTCTTTTTCTTTCCCTACTTCCTGTTTTCTCTCAGGTTCTTTCTCTTGTTTTTCTTCTGATATTTTCGAGAACACATGGGATCTGGGTCTTTTGAAGTGAGATCTTTCATTTTCGCTCTCTATTCTCTGTTTTCTCTCTATTCCCCTCTCTTGTTTTTCTTCTGAATTTTCTAAGAAAACAGCTGATCTGGATATTTGGAAGTGGGTTGTTTCTTTTTGTCTCTCCGCTTTTTCTTCTCTCTTTACTTGTTTCTCTAGTTTTTTGTCTGCTCTTTCAGAGAGAACAGGGAGTCTGGTCTTCTTGCAGTTGGTCTTTTTCGTTTCTCTCTTTTCTCCCTGTTTTCCTGAGACATCAGGGAGTGTGGGTCTTTTGAAGTGGGTTTTTCCTTTTCCTCCTTCTCTCTCTTGTTTTTCTTCTGGTTTTCCAGAGAAACTGAGCCCTTTTTCTTTTTTTCTCTCTATATCTATCTCTTCTTTGCGTATTGCTTTCTCTCTTCTCTCCTCTTTTTCTCTCTGTACTTTCTTTTCTCTCTCTGCTACTTCTCTCCGTTGATTTTCTTCTGGTTTTCCTCTCTCTACTATTTTTCTCCCTTGTTTTTTCTCTGGTTTTTCTGAGAAAACAGGGGATCTGGGTGGTCTTTTGAACTGGGTTTTCTCAGGAGAATCAGGAGAAATGGGGAAATGGTTGAGAGCCCAAATCCTCTTTTTTGCAGGTAAGGAGTAATTGAGAGGAGAAACCATGAATTTTTGATGCATGAGCTTGAATCGTTTGAGAGGGTGAAGGCCATGGTACATGCTTGCTTCGTCTTCTTTCTGGGATTTTTCTCCTTCTCCCATTGCCTTAACAGTAGGGACTCTTGTGAATTCAGTAGCAGCTTAGAGAGAGATAGATGAGGTTTTCGAATGGGTGTTTGGCGGGTTAAGTGAGAGAAGAAAACCCAAGAACGGGCAATGGCGGTTTTCTACTGTGACTATTTCGTTTCGTGTGAACAAGTTTTGAATTTTCGCTTCTCTCTAAATTTTTGAATCCTCTCTCTTTCTCTCACTATGAGGCGGGAAAGAAAAGCCCGGGAACGGGAAAAAATTGCGGGAATGTACCGTGGAATGCACCGGTGTTTTTCGCGGGATTTGAAATTTAGCGGCTTCTCACTCTATAGGCTCTCAATCTCTCAATTCACCCAAAAAAAATAGGAAAATGGTTTGATAGGGCTGCAGTCCTATCAAAATAAGTAAACCCTCACCTCATAACTCATTCAAAATTTTAAGTCTAGTATTGGAAAACCTATACATTAATTTAAACCATATGGGTATAAAAAAATAGATTGGGATTTCAAACTCTAAAAATAATGTATATTGTAATAAATTTTTTAGACCATCTATTTCACCTCAAAAATTAAGTATTCACAAGATCTATACTTCTTTTTTTAAATTTGAAATTTTATTGTCAGTGGTGAAAATTGATTTTAGAGCCATCACGGTAATTTTTGTTAAAAGAACTTTTCAAATGAGGATTTAAGATGGTACTTTATTTTGTTTTCACAAAGAGAAAAAGTATATATGGAGCCTAGGCTCTAAAAAATCAAATTAGAGCCTACCTCGAAATGTTCATTAGAAGAGGTGTTTTGATATCCAAATATTATCAAATTGATCATTTTGACATCAAGATGCATGGACATGAGAAAAAAATGGATTTCAAAATTTGGAAATAGTACATCTTGTAATGCATTTTTGGATCATCAATTTTCAAGATTGTCAAGTTTTCATAGATCTACTCAATCAACACTTATTTTTGAAGCTTTAAATTTTGGAAAGTTATTTCATGCGGGCTGGACCGCATTTCTACATATGTGGTCCAGAAAGTATAAAGCATCCATCTTAAAGATAGATGCAAGTAGGTGTTCCATCTAAACACAATAGAAACTAACGGTCAAAATGTTTTCTTACTAGAATTATTATTTCGAGTATGTTTTTCATATTCATGATCTCTATGTTAGAGATTACATGTCCTTGAAAAATAAGTCTTAAAACCTATCTTAAAAACTAGATTTACTAAGAAGCTCACATTTCTACATATACGGGCTTGGTCACATACAAACTGATTCGTTAAATTCTATAACTAAAAATAAAAATATAATTTAAAGGTATCATAAAACTTTCTAATATTGAAACTATATTTCTTGACACTACCGGAAGGTGGGATACAAACGGCATCCTTTCACAAAACCTAGGCCTTATAGAATCTCATCTCTCTCGCACTATGTGTTTCTCCCTCTAAAGCTTTGAATATGCGCGGATGCGAACTAAACCACCTATATTTTGGGTGGCCAAATCAAAAACGTGGTTGCATTGCAGAGAACGTGGGTCTGTGGGTCCTTTAAGTTGGAATCTGGTGAAGTCAGTTGATTTTCTACTCCTGCAGGATCTATTTTGTGTATTGCACCCTCCGGTAAAACCAAGCTTGGAGTTTTTTTTTATTTTCTTTATTTTTATTTTCAACCTACAAATGGGAATGGGTTATGTTTGGGTTCGGTCCTGGTCAATCCTAAACCAAGACCCAACTTGATTAGGTCTACGTTAGATCCAAACCCGACCCCAACCTAGTTGGGGTCCAAGTCAATTGGATCTAGACCTGACCTATTGGGTCACGGCTCTAAAATAAAATATATATGAAAAGTTATTTATATATTTAATCAAATATGGATGAGTGTGATTGAGAGTGCAACACATACCCGATACAATACCTGTTATGAGGTATGAGTTAATTCAAGTTAAAGGCCTCAAAAGGCTAAAGGGTAAGATAAAAAAGACATGGTTGGAACTTGGAAGTAGAGAGAAAATATATGTGGACTTGTGGCCACATTGAGAGGACTGCCCTTGATAAAGCACTACAGCGGAGTAGAATTCATGTAGTTGGCTCCAAATAAAAGTTTTAATAATGATGATGATGATGATGATTAATCATTATTTGAATGTAATTCACACTTATATATTTTGGGTTGGTTGTCCTAGACTTAGACCAAACCCGACCTAATAGGATTCAAGCTAGACCATGACTCAAACCTAAACTTGACCCATCAGGTCCATTATCGAGGTCCAAGCCCGGACTCAGGCCCAATTTCTGTTAATATGTGGGAATCTAACTTTTAGGACTTGACAACCAACCTCAATGTAACTAAATAAATAATATCTTGAGATTGACATCTGAATTTTTGAGAGGCAGGTGTTCAAGAACTCAAACTCTAATCTTTTCTTAAAAATAATCATCAGGTGATATTAAGGTAGATCACAAATTAAAAGAAAATATCATCTCAACGAACTCCTTAAATCGAGGAAGTTGTTGTGCAGTATACTTCTACAGGAGCATGCAATAAGTTTGGTAAAGCGGGAAGCAAGAGAACTTTCAAACGTGAGAGAAACAATTGAGAAAGCCGCCAAAACCAAAAACAAAAAGGTTCCCTCCCTCTGAAAATTTCCCACAAGCGAATCTTATTCGATAAGCATAATGTGTATCTTTGCTAGGTACACATGAAAACGGGTAGCATCAGATGGGGGTTGGGTAGACCCGAACCGGACACTAGACTTGGATCCGACTTTAACGTCCAAGTGATTTGGACCCGGACCCAAGTTGGGTCCAATCATTTGGATCCAGACCTAAATATGAAAATTTTAAAAATAAAAAATTATTTTATATGTTCTACTTTTTATGGATCTGACCCGATAGTATCCATGTTGGATCAAAGCTTGAACATGAATTGCCAGGTCCAAACCATGGACCCAGACCTAGGCGCGGTTCGACCTGATTGCCACCCCTACGTATGAAGCCCATCTACCGCATGACAGGGAATGGGTCTAAATGGACAGTGGAGATGAACCGGTGTATGCTACTTGCATGACATGGAATGGGTCTAAATGGACAGTGGAGATGAACCGGTGTATGCTACTTGCATGACATGGAATGGGTCTAAATGGACAGTGGAGATGAACCGGTGTATGCTACTTGCTTCACCAAAGGTCCTTAATGTTCGCAACGTTGACCCAAAAACAATAGATCTTTTTGGTTTTTAGAAGTAGAGAGAGCTACAACATCATGTAAATTGAGTTTTGAATTCAACCATAAATATCATCAAATGACATGCAAGCCATTTTTCTCTATAAAAAACAATCACAAATAGGTTGCTGCGATCTTTTTTATGACTCCAAGATGATACACAAGAACTATGGGAAAAATCGGGCAGCTCAAATTCTAACCACACCGTTAGATTGGAACTGTCCATTGGCCGGTTCCCATTTTGACCAATTTTTGTGAACCGGCCGGGCATTTTAAAAAATATTCAAAACATTTGTATAAAATCTCAAAAAATAAGAGATTTTGTTTGTAATGTATGTTTTTCATCATTTTGGCAAAGATTTTTTGTCCATTAATATTTATTTTTACAATTTCCTATTTTTTTTGAAAATTTTAAAAAATACCCTTGGCACAAATAGATTCTTTAAAATTTATTTTTTATTATTATTAATTTTCAACTTCATTTGGATGTACTTTGTTTAATTATGTTTTAAATATATTTTTCATATTTTATTAGATTTTTTAAACTTTTTTAATCACTTTTTTTGACCTCCAGGGACTTGCGTGGTTAGGCTGGTAGAACCAGTCGGTTTACCAGTTAGACCAGTTAAACTGCTTCCGGCCCCATATCCGGTTAACCATTCCTGTTCGATTTTTCCTACACCATGCACAACCCATTTTTCTCTATAAAAAACAATCGCAAATAGCTTGATGTGAATTTTTTTATGACTCGAAGATGATGCACAAATATCACTAACTTTGTCATCACAAAATAATCGAAATACAAAATCGATCGCAATTATTGTAAAACACATCCAAACAACTCTTAATTTCCAGCAAACATGTACTTATCAAAACCCAATACAAATCGTACAATTATTGTAAATCTCATTCAAGCAACCCAACGTAATTTGCAACAAACATATACTCATCAAAACCTAATATAAATCACTCCAACAAATTGAAAACAATTCCCTATAATTTTTTCCTTACTAATGCAACTTTTTCCCAAACTTCAAGTACTATTTTGGATATATATATATATATATATATATATATTCATTGTCAGAAAAATGATGATACAGTTAATACCGCAAAGAAAAATGATGATAGTGTCAGTTTAAGTTTGTTTGTAATATCAAAGAGAACTTCGAAGTTCAAATAGGTAATAATACCGATTTGAACTTTGAAGAAAAATGTCTTCGAAGTTTGTATATCATACCTTGATATTACATACAAACTTACATTGTCATACCTTGATATTACTGATGAACTTACACTGTCATAAAAAGCGGATTTATTGATGAACTTTGAAACCTCAAACTGTTCAAATGCTATTTTATCAGAAAAACCCAAATTCAAGGTATGAACTTG